GACGGCGCTAGACAAACACAAGAACACAAAATCGGTTAGAACGATAAAATTGTAGTTCTGTTTTTCATGTAGAAATCAATTGTATAGTTCATAGGCAGTGTACACTAAATAAACACAAGTTCACTGTGTCTAAACATTGTTCTCAGTCTGGAACGCTGCTATTGAACGCCGGGACGCAAGCGCAACGGTTCGAACCCTGTGTCACGGTCAGTGATTGTAAATCTCCAGCTGGTTGTCGGCAGGTTAAGCTTTCATTGTCTTCAGGTTGTGCGTGATCTGATGTGAAAATGCTCCTTGTATCTTTAACATTCTGTGCAAACGCGTCATAAAGTGGTGGCAGGTCTGCGGCGGCATTCCCTTTAAGACATTTTTGGCTAATGACAGAATTTATGCCTAGACTATGAAAGATTTGGTCACACTTTATTTTAAGGTGTCATTGTTACAGTGTCATTATATATTTTATAGTACTGAGTCATATTAATTAACTACATGAGGGTTAGGGTTAGTTGTGTAGTCTGTAGGGTTAGGGTTAGTTGTGTTAGTACTATGGTAAGTACATGTAACATATGTAACAAGGACACTGTAAAATGAAGTGTTACCAAAGATTAAAAGTGCTCATCTGTTTTTCTGTTGGAAAGACCAGCATTTTAGGGGCTCTGTAGAAGCTCATGGTTTTACTGGTGTTTAACACGACCACGTTGGTCCACCAGTCAGACCGTGGACATTTCTCAGCAGGACTACAAAAATATCCTACTTCACATTCCCAGATGACACAAACACAATAGTTCTTGAGTCAAACGTTTTCTGCTCTGTTTTTTCTTTTACCTTGATCAGTTGTAAAGATGGGGATAGATGTAGATGTCGGGGGTTGGGGGTAAACCTAGCGATGGTCAAGACTGACCAAACCTGGGAAGGTCGAATGCAGACAACATGCTCATAGACCCGGATAGCTCATCTCCGGCACTCACCACGCCAGCGTCCATCTCCCTCCTCAGATGTTAGCAGGATGCTTTAGTCTCTTTGTCTCTGAATCTCTCTGTGTCTGAGGCAAGTCCTGCTCTTTCTTTGCCTCTTTTGGTGGAGCGGAGGCGGTGGAGATGGACTGTGTAGATGACGGGGCAGGAATGGGAGATGGACTTAAGGTTGGAGTGGACAGAGCGCTGAAGGTCTGAGTCAGGGAAACAGCCGGCTTCTGTGGAAACTGTGAAGTAGCAGGAGATGGAGTGGATGCAGGAGAAGGTGATGGTGTGTGTGATTGGGTCAGAACCGGCGTTGAGGGTCTGCTTTGGGCTGGGCTGTTGACTGGAGAGCCTAGGGTCCAAGACGAGCTCGGAGTGTGTATGGGAGTGGAGATCGGAGAACGTGCCGGAGGAGGACCGAGGACCGGGACAGCGGCTGGCATCTGGACAGGAGTGCTTTGGCTCAGGGTTGAACTCAGAGGTTTGCCTGGAGTTTGGGTGGAAGCGGACACTGAATGCAGGTTGAGGTTGGAGATTGTGCCGCGGCTAGAGTGTGGATGGGAGTCGGACACCGACTCTGGGATTGGGATTGGATGGCCACTGGTGTTCTAGATTGGGTGGGGGTCTGAATAGGAGTTGGGGTGGGGGTTTGGGAAGGAGTGACGGTGGGAGTGGAGTTGGTTGTGCAGGATAACGGTTTGACACGCAAAGTCTGGGCCAAAGAGGTGCCGGAAGATGAAGTTGGAGAGGTGGAGATGGATAGAGATGGAGAAGCAGGGCGTAGGCAAGGGGGAGGAGAGGTTGAAGGAGAAGTCGATATTGCAGTGCCGGGCTTGACTCGCTGGGTTTGGGGAACACCTAAACCAGAATATGCGGCCATTAGAGATAGAGGAGGGTTGGTGGAGCAAAGAGGGATTTGCTTTGGGGAGGACGAGAGGGAGGCGAGGGGTGGCGGAGCGGATCCGGGTGTGAGTGGAGGTGTGTGTGTCAGCTGAGAGGGCAAGAGTAGGGGTGTGTGTGCAGGCATCTGTGTGGCACCGTGCTGTGGCGCATTTGAGCTCAAAACACCCGCGCTTCCGACTCTAGCGAGTCCTGATGACACAAGGAAGGGTCCCGGCAGCAGGTTTCCTCCGGATGCTTTCCGATGGAGAGGTGGGAGAGGCTGAACGCCCACCCAGCTGCGGTGGGGAAGAGTCGGCTGGGAGGCGGAGAGCAGTCTTGCCTCTTGGGTGAGCCGACCGATCATTGGGAGCCCTTGGGTGCTCCCCCCTCCAACATGGCGTAGTAAAGCCTCTTTAGCCCCCTGTGGCCCAGATCCGGCGCCACGTCCTTCGGTAGAGGGCGCTGCAACCACTGAGGGAGTCGGGACTTTATGGACAGACGGCGTTGTGGGCTCGGGTTGGAGCCGGAGGCTGTAATGAAGAGTTCTGCTAGCCTGTAGGGGAGTGGACACTGACGACGCAGATGTGGGAGTTTTTCCAACTGAAGGAGCCCCAGCGGTGGAGGGCGAGGGTGAAGGAGCTATCGAGGACGGGACTCCACGCGGGGGCAGTGTGCCCATCACACCCATGAGGGAGCTGAGCGACTGCCGAGGGAGAAGAATGGGTGGACGGGGAGGGGAGAGAGGGCATGACGAGGGCGACGGCGAGATGGGGAGGAAGATGGCGGCTCCGAGGGCATGTTGTTGTTGAAGCTGTTGTTGCAGCTGTTGCTGCTGCTGTTGCTGATGCATCAAGGCGATGGCCACGTTGGTGGTGGCAGCAGCCGTCTGGAGGGGAGCGTGGACCAGCGGTGCCCAGATCAGCGGATGAGGTCGGGGTGAGACTGTGCCTCCGGTGCTGCTTCGGTTGCTCGCAGCCGTGATGTCCTGCATGGTGGGCATGCTGTCGTGCTTCACGATCTGCTGGACCAGAACACTATCACAAGATCCCAGACCGGCGCCTCCTGCTCCTCCACCGCGGCTGCCTCCGCCCCGTCCCAAACTGCTGCCCGCAACAGATCCTCCCTGTGAGGTCTTGCGCAACAAAATGGAGTTCTTCTTGCCTGTGAGATAAAGGAATTCAGAATAGTGTTAGGACAGATAGAAAATAATTGCATATGGTTATTAACAAGATTGTAAAACACTGTTCCCTAAGAATTAAATACTTAACTTTTAAGCCAATCATATTTTCTCTCATTTACTCACTTATGTCTTCCTTTTTTGTCACTTTCACTGAACAGAAAAATCTGGGAACTTAAATTTAGTAAGCCACTGAATCTCTTCAACTACTAAATCTGTTGCACATTTGAGGGGCAACAACACGGAAAACGCCAACAACAGAAAGGTAAAAAAATGGTCTAGAACACAACAGACTACAACAGGGAGGGATTTAAGAAATAGTAAAAGCAAAGAAGAAGAGATTAATTTATTTGTTGCACAGATGAGTTTCGGGTTTATAAAGGGGCAAGGTTTTACCGATGCGATCAAGTCTGTCCGCTGCCACCGTCTCGAAGGCCCGTCTCATCATGGGATGCTCTTCCAGAACCTCGTTGAAACTGCCCACACTGAGGGAGTAAAGTCGACAGTACGTATCCGCTCGAACACTAGCTGTCCTCCTGCCACGAGTCAACAGACAGATCTCTGGGTGACGGAGAAAGACCACAGCGAGGTTAGAGCGCCATCTGTAGGACGACTGAAGCACTCCACCACGGGTGCCTTTCCTGAAGCCAAACATGGTTGCAAGTTCTGTCGTTACCAACACCAATAGTTGCAACCATTGTTGGCTACCAATGCTTTTGGGAAACACACCCAAGATCAATCCAGTAAACATTAAAGACCTGGAACTGCTTAACACTAACCGGGAACGTCCTCTGATCTTTAGCTAACGTTCGGTCAAGTTTCTCTCAAAGTTATGAACAAACATTCTTCCAGTAATGTTAAAAAATGTTCAAAATGTTTTGCAACATTTTTGTTGTTCACCGTGATTTAAACGTTAATACTGGTTTCAGAACGTTCGCAGAACATTCAAAAGTAACGTTCCCATAATGTTTGAAGAATGATGGAATGTTCCCTAACCTTCACATAATCAAGAAAAGGTGTTTTTAGTAGAGCATTAGAAAAATGCTCTCAGAACATATTTTTGTTAGTTGAGTACAAACATCTGACATCAACCAATCTGCTGTAACCTCACCTCCGAAGTACGACCCGTCGCTAAGCTTGGTCTCCCTGTTTCCGCGAGTTAGCACGCTGACCCGCCCGTGCTGGATAAAATACATTTTACGGCCAACGGTTCCCTCCCGAATGATGAAGTCATTGGGCTGGAAGACCTCAAACTTCAGCTTTGTGAGCACTGCCGTCACGAAGTTTGGGTCAGCGTTAGCGAAGAGAGGCATGTTAGCCACCAAGCTACGGCAGTTGAAGCTAACAATTTCCTGTCACAGAGCACAAGTACACATTATTTAGATGCTTAAAGCTTGTAAAATGCAACAACAAAAACTCACATGTGAATACCAGGAGTTACTAGCCCAATAATGCTGGTGTTTGAATATACACTAAAATAGTTCTGTGAAGTCTGCACAACTGCATCTTGAAAATATTGAAAAATTTACATTTACGGTGACGCTATATTCAGTATAGGTGTTTGTTACACTCCAAAACTGGTACGCATCACTTCTGGTTTATTTGCTCCTATTTATTCAGCACTGCCTTGGAATCATATTGCAACATCAAAAAACATCAGAAACTGAAAAGAAAACTTTAGGCAGGCATGAGTGGAGTGAAGACGAACCTCCTTTAAGGGGTCGCTCAGCTCTCCCAGAATGTTGTCCTCATCAAACATCTTGCCCTGGTATCGGTGTTCGTAATACTCGTGGATCTTCTGCCTGACATCTGATGGAAGCTTATGGAAAGACATGTACTGCTCCACCTGCTTATACTGGACGACAGACAGGAGCGCTCACTCACTCACTCCTCATTTCTCAGACACATTTGATTTGCGATTAATTAATTGGCACATCATGTAAGTAATTAGATTTTTTTAAAATGATTTGAGATATATATATATATATAGAGAGAGAGAGGGCCTAAAACTAACTTTTTGCCACAGCAGCCATTGGCCGATGACTGGAGAAGATTTACTGGCCAAACATATTCCTTCCCAGCCATGAAACAGATTAATCGATATTAAAGTTACAAAAGTTATACAGTCATGAATAACACAGACGGCAGCAGGTTTACACCCAAATCCTGGGTTGAACCTTTTGGGTCAGGTTTTCAAAGTGTGGGTGTACTCTAAAAATGGTGGGTAGTTTTTACCCAATTTTGGGTCAAATATGGACAAACACACATTTTGGGGTTAAAAATGTAATTAAAAAATTGACCCAACGGCTGGATTTGTCCATATTTGACCAATATTTGGATTGAAACCACCCAGCATTTTTTTAGAGTGTAGTTCTTGTGTAACCCAGTTCCTGGGTCAGATATATATTTACAGACAATTTACAGATATATTACTTCAAAATGTTTAATTTATACTTCTAATATTTGTTAAACAAGCTTAAATGATAAAAAAATAAATAAAGTAATAATTATGCAAACCAGTGGCTGTGTGGAGTATTTAAAAAAAAAAAACGTTAAGTTAATCCGTAAACATTAATTCATGTCTGAAGTAAAATAAAATAAAATAAAAGAGCTAATACTATAGTAAAAATGAATCAATCCGGTATGCTGGGTTAAAAAAAACAACAATCCAATTTACTGAGTAAAATTAACCCAGCATGTGTTCTGTCCTATATTTGCCCAGCTCTTGGGTTGAAAAGAACCCAAATTGGGTTGTTTTTAACCCAGTGTTTTTGGAGTGTATTAGGCTGCTGTCACTTTAAGAGCTAATGCACAGATCCACGTGTGCTTTATTTCTCAACTGTTTAAGTTCAGGTAAGACACTGGCTATGTCTATAAGGATACTTGCCATGATGGGCATTTTGACAATTTAGTTTGAACAAGTGTGTTCCAGCGCAGGACGTCGTGACAGAGCTCGAGTCAGTGTTTGCGTGCCGTTTACGACACGGATTCTGGGTTTCTCTGAACTCAATTCTGCGAGTAACGAATCGAGTTCCCTTCTGCGTTCTTGAGCTTTAATATTTAAATTGTCAAGGCTGAAACTTTCGTGGCGATGCAGCGCTGGCTCAGCGCCGTTCGTGTCTGTTCTCATGTTCAACTCTGCTTTGTTAGAATTCTTAAAAGTGTTTCCGGCCGACGGTGACGGACTCGTCTCAGACTCTCGCCAACACACATCTGACCTGAGATGAAGAACCGCACGAGCTCGGCGCTTTACCTTCTCCTGGTACTGCCTGCGGGACGAGTCCAGCGACTGGATGAGCGCCGTGGCGTGGCCGATGAACATGGCGTAACACGTGGCGCCCACGATCATGCTGAGCATGGTGAGCCAGACGTCCGTCATGCCCTCGGGAGCCTGCGCGCCGTAGCCGATGCACAGCATGTGACTCATGGCCTTGAAGAGCGCGTACGAGTACTGGATACCCCACGTGTCGTTCTGAAACACAGAGCAGACCTGCGCTCACACTCGCGTCACACACACACTGCCCTCATGGCTCTTGTCACACACACACACCAGCTCATGTTCAGTGCTGTGAGCATGGGAACACACACACACACGCTGCTCCAGGACTGAGCTGAAGCTGCAGGAGTCGTCAGTGGCACGCGTGTGTGTGTGTGTGAGTGTGTGTGTGTGTGCGTGTGTGTGTGTGAATGAGTGACTGTGCTGTGTGTTTATCTCTCGGTGCCCATGGAGACGGAGACAGATATAGCTGAGCATCTGCTGCCTAGCAACCGTCACCACGACAACGGCGGTGGAAAACCCTACTGCGGGTGAGTCAGCACAGTGTGTGTGTGTGTGTGTGTGCGCTGTTTTTAATTAGACTTTTTTAATGTTGCCTCAATATTCCGACAAGACAAGCAGGTGCATGTAGTAGTGATCAGTCTCACACACACACACACACACACACACACAGGTTCCGATCCGATGACGAAGGCTTGACAGAGCAGGCATCGAGTGTCGGACAGTATTCTGTCACCTGAGGAAGTTTTTGGCCCAATAATAGTTTCTAAAAATGTCCACAAACTGCAGTCTGAGAGCCGGCGCTTCGAGCGAGTGTCGCCATAGAAACCAGTCACTGCGAAACCCCAGAGCTCAGACCTCAGGACTCAGACCAGTCGTCTGATAATTATGGTAATTCTGACGACACATGAACTCTAGTGAGCAGTGTACTGGGTCCTGCAGCGCTTTATATACTGTATATACACACACACACACATATAGATATATATATTCTGAGAAACTCACGAGTGTCTGACTGTTGATCGAGACCGCTGCAGATCCACAACAGAGCTCAAACTCAAACAGTCCATCTATGCGTTTAAGAAGTATGTTAAATTATCAATATAATCCTGCGCAGTAGCAGATCTACTCTATTGATGTAATGTTGTGTTTTGATGTCTAAGGAAAAGAGACGACTGCATGAGGAGATCACATCAACATCAACATCAACATCGACGTCAACTGGACATGAGTGTGTGTTGATGGGGCCAGACATTACAAGTCTTTACTTCTTTCTGCTCCTTTTCATTCATGTTAAAAGAATGAAATAAATAATACAATTTTTTTTTTACATTAAAAAAAAAACTAATTCTATATGATTTCTAAGTGTGTTTACCCATGAGGACTCAATTTAGGCCCACGAGTTCCCATGAGTCTGTGTGCATTCAGCTTTAAGTCCCCACCGGACAGAAAAACATGTACACAGTCGTGCTGCTCCACAGGTCTCACACACACAGATCCGTGTTCACGCTGAGACTCTTGCAGAACACGAGCGTCCCGACAGTGAGTGTGTGATTATTATTATTATTACACGGCTCTGTGGAAAGCTTGATTCTGATTGGTCGTTATTCCCAGATAACAGAAACTCAGGCTCATCCGGGTCACTGAGGTCATCAGCACTACACACTCGCTGGAACGGGTTTTCCTGCTGATAAACTGGAGTCCTGCGGGGCGAGTGTGTGAGTGTGTGTGTGTGTGTGTCCTCCTCACCACCATGTTGTTCTTGGAGACCCAGCAGTCGAGAGGGAAGTCCTGCAGCATCGGCACCAGGAACTGCAGACAGCCGTCCCAGTGACACAGCAGCAGCATCATGCCGATCAGGTTCACGATACGCACCATCGCACTCGCCAGGTCATAGGTCATGTGGAAGATCTGCGGAAACACAAGCCAAGCCTCCTCCATGAGCACAGATGATATCAGGAGATTACAGGCTTCACAGCACATCTACAATAAAGCTATTGTCCAGATAAAGTTAGTTTTGAATGATTTGAGCCATGAAAAACTTTAGAAAAAAATTAAGTAATCTCTGTGCAAACTTCAAAAGCCCGAGCCGGTGAAACGCTGGTGGCGCGCGCATGCGGATTATGTGTTTAGTCTATAGATGTGTGTGTTTGGATAAATGTGTGCGCAAGCGTGTCTGTCCCTACAAACTGACCTCCACAAATTACTCATCTGGCCTTAAATATTTATAATACAGAATTGTTTTGTGCTTCCGCATAGCCATGCAAACTGGAATTATTTAGACAATTTTTTATTTGTACCACACACACACACACACACACACTTATCATCACTCTCCTGCTTAAAATGCATGACTACAGCAAACAGCAAGATTATTTTGGTCAATATTGAGATTATGAATATTTGACACACTGACTATTGACTAGGAGTAAGAAATATAAGTTTCATTTCACAATATTGTCTTATTTAATGATGTTTTTGCTGGAAATAATGATGTTTTGTTACCCATGGAAGCTTGCAAAAAAAGTTGCAATTACTGTACCTTTTTTATTTCATTCCTTGACAGAAACAAGCGTCCATAATTAACATTTCATAACTTTAGATGCAGTAAAATATAACCATTCTTCATGTCACAGGAGCACAAAATAACAGCCAAACTAATCTCAAGCTTAATTAAGACAAGTGATAAGAAAAGAACAGAAAAGTGACGTCCGGCCGAGGAAAACAGATTTGAGGATCTTGGATGAGGTGTTGGAGAATAGATTATTAAATTAGTTAAACAGTTAAAATGGCAAAGATTAAAAACCCATGCAAGTATAAACTTTATAACGCTGGACAATATGAGAGCATCTCTGTGAGCCATCATAATTATCTTGCGTTCAGATTCCTTGGGAGCTAAAATGGTAATTGTTCTTATAATACTTGCATAATGATAAAACATCTATACATAAGGTCTTCATAACTTAATGGGAACGTTAGCAGAACGTTGATAGGACACGTGTGTGTTGTCTGGGAGAGCCTCACCTCCTCCCACTGGTGTATGTAGCGGATGAGACGGGACAAACGCAGCAAACGCAGAAGACTCAAGATCTTGGTGAATCGAACGATCCTCAGCGCTCGAGCCGTCCGGTACACCTGCGGGAAACACATTTACAGCATTACCCAGCATTCAGTGACGGACTAGTTCATCCTGGAGAAAACTGTGGTAGCCAAACTGGCCGGTGAGTGAAAACGTTCATTTCAAACCCTGGTTTCAGCTCAAGCTCTTTTCACAGTGAAGAGAAAGCTTTGAGAGACCGTCAGACTTTATTCCTCTACCTCGGAGTCCAGTCGAGCTTCCAGGTCCACCATCAGGAAGATATAATCCACCGGGATGGACGACACGAAGTCCACGAGGAACCAGCTCTTCAGGTAGCGCTGGCGGATGGCCTTCGGGTCCAGCAGGATCTCCGTACTGTCCTCTTTCACGATCCCGGTTCGGAAGTTCAGCACCAGGTCCACCAGGAACAGTGTGTCCGACACCACGTTGAAGATGATCCACGGAGGCGTGTTCTCGTCCTTGAAGAAGGTGATTCCCACCGGGAGGATGATGAGGTTTCCCACCATCAGCATCAGCATGAGGAGATCCCAGTAGAACCTGCAGACGGAGCGACTCCGTTAACCTCCAGATCGCAAGAAAGGTGAACTGAACTGAACTGAACTGTCAGTGTTTCTGTCTGGTTTCCCAACACTAATATCTAAACTTTCTTAAATCAGGACACATTCAAAATTCATACACTGTAAAAAATAAACCTTAAATTTTACGGTAAAAAAACGGCAGCTGTGGTTGCCAGAACTTTACCGTTAAAAATACGGTAGGAACGTTAATGGTTTTACAGACTTAACTTAAAAATTTACAGTAATAAACCATAATTTATTTTCTGATAAAATGTGGATTTACCAACTTATTGATGTAGTGATATCTGTTTTAGATCATTGTAATATAACAACAACCAACAATCATCACAGCAGTGAATACTTGTATAAAGCAATACTTAATTGAAGAAGCGGCACAACGGAATTCACACAAACATTAAGCACCATCATGGTAACACACATGAAATAAAAAAAATGCAATAAACATTAATTTAACAACATTAAATGTAACATTTAACCCTAATGTACATAACTGATTAGAAAAAAAACAATAAAACTATGAGGAACCCATAGTTATTTCAACAAAAATACATAAAATGTGAAGTGTCAAATAGGGAATTGTGGGAATGTCAATTTACGGTTTTTCACTGTAAATTATACGAAGATTTGTTCTTTTTCACTTTCAAAAACTGTAAATTTAACGGTATTTTACTGTAAAATTATATCACAGTTATTTACCGTGTATAGTACGGAAACTTTCTGTTTACCAATTAACAGTTTTGCACTGTAGCATTTTTACAGTATTTTACCGTTAAAATCACGGTTATTTTTTTACAGTGTAGTATCATAAAGCAGTGGGAGAAAAGTACATAGTGCTCTATGATTTCCTTGAGGTTTGTTTCATGAAAATCTTATTTAGATTTGATTTTTAAAATTTTGTTTATAATTATATGATTTATAGCGCCCTAAGAACTCCAATGACCTGATTCTGAAGTGTGTATAACGCTCAGATTACCGTGGAAAACATGCTTTCTAAAGGAATTAAAGTCGGCAAGAAAGGGACTTTCTGGAGCAATAACACGTGTGGGCGGGGCTTGATGTGTCTGTGGGGAGTTGATTGGATGCTGGTGGTTTGCTATTGGCTGATCTCATGTGAGTGACAGGTTATAGCCCCGCCCTCGTCATCAGAGAGGAGCAGAGATGAACAGAGATTACCAGGAACATGATATTAACAATAATTATGTGCACCGATAAATCATTTAGAATGAATGCTATAAAATAACAATTGTCCGTTTTCGTAACTTTACTCAGAAGAAGAAGCAAGTGATTTGTGACGCAACAGTATGATCTCGTTCATGTTTTAGTGGCTGGATAATCTCTGAGATCATTATTATTGATCATCTCCCTGTGAGAGATGCAGAGCTGCATGGAGAGATGATCCAGTAAAGCAGGAGTCCAGCTGAGCACGTCAGACATCATCTGATCTGTGTTCTCCAGCGCCAACGAGAGCAGAAGCTTCCTGATGGAGAAACTGGGACAGGAGAGCAGGTCTGATGCACGTCACACACACACACACACACACACGCAGGTGTGCGATCGATCAGCCATAATCTGCTCATAATCCGTTTCCCATCAGCCTGACTCACTCTGCCTCGTTTCTTTATTCATAGTCTCCGTTTAATGTAATTGAAATCGTAGCTGATTGAATTATGCATTATGCACACATTGGATGAATAATGCATCACATTATGAATATTTGATCCATGCACATTTCTGACAGCAGACAGACTAATTGGGCTCATATGCATATTCATATTTCATGTAAAGATACCAAAGATTAAATTAAATACTTGTCTGACGTTATTAAAGAAATGCTCATGGCTTTGCTGTAGACGCCACGGTCATGGGTTCGATTCCCAGGGAGAGCAAGAACTGACAAGAATGTAAAATATGTTCCTTAATGCTTAAAAAAAGACTTAAAAATGAAATTCTCATAAACATTGAGTGCATGTTCACATGTTCTCCTCTGTCTTCCCCGTGAGAAGAGTTTACATGTTTTTGTGGATAAGATCGCCTGTATTCTGTGCCTCTCTCTCTTTTTTGAAAGTCTGATTAGTTGAAACGTTCTCCTGTCCCACAGATGTCGTCCCTCCGCGTCTGCTAAATGAGATTTTTGACTATTGGGCCAAGAAACTATTAATAGCAGTTTGACCTCAGGTGTTTTTCCACTGGATTTTAAACTTGCCGTGTTCCAACATCGATAAAAAATTTTTTTAAAAGTATGCCAATTTTCATTCAATTTCTAAACTCCCATTTCTTTCTAAAATATTGGAGAACATTGTATGTATCTTTTTCAGATTCACATGGAGTTTGAGATGTATTTCAGTCTGGTTTTAAACCCAGCTAATGCACTTTTAAAGGACGGGTCACGGCTCGGGAGTCCCCCAGGGCTCTGTTCTTGGCCCGATGCCGTTTCCCTTCAGGCTCACATTAGGCTCCACTGTTAGGAGGCACGGCGTTTCATTTCAGTGTTATCCAGACGACACACCTTTAAAACTATAGTGTGTGCGCGCGTCACGTCACCGTCAGCCGGAGTGACTCACACACACACACCGAGTGGCAGAAACACTGAGCGACAGCATTGGTTTTCAGTGTGAATGCTGTGAAAAACACAAAAAACACATTTAAAACAGAGAACAACTATATTTGACAGAAATCTGAGGTGTGTTTCCAGGTCACACACTGCTAAAGCTGCAGAACAGAGACGCCAACAGATCCTGCGACTCACAGCCAGAGAACGCTGGATTCGCTGTTATTATTCTCTTACGCTGAATATTGTATAACTCATCCATTAAATATTTACAGAAAACTTCAATATTTTGTTTTTAAATAAACACTGACAAAAAAAAACTACTCAAGTTTTAGTCCTGGATGATGATGATATATATAACACTGATATAAAGTGATCAGATGGATTTAATAATGGGCTTTAAACCTGATGAAAACGCCTGTGCTCAGTGTGTGTTTTGGGAATTCTTCAGCATGAAACTGCAGCTATATTTAGAGTTTCATTGGATTACACACGGGGAACAGAGGGCCATATGCTACCAATCAACAGAAGCGAGCAAACCACACATAAACGAAGGAGACCCGACTGACATCTACTGCTCATGGAAGATTGAATATGACTGACTATAATCATGAAATTCACATGGACTATTCTCATTGTGTTGTTGATTGTTACAGCACCTGCCAGTCTCTGTGTGTGTGTGTGTGTGTGTGTGTGTGTGTGTGTGACTCTTTTAGTCTGGGTCTCTAGTAACATCGGTTCAGATGTGTGTGAACAGATCTGATTCAGCGTTCGTCAGAAACATGCGTGACGAGAGGCTCTGGTCACCATGTCACTCACATGTCTCTCTCTCACCTGTCTCTCTCTCACCCGTCTCTCTCTCTCTCTCTCTCTCTCTCACCTGTCTCTCTCTCACCCATCTCTCTCTCTCACCTGTCTCTCTCTCATCCGTCTCTCTCTCTCACAAAACTAACATTACTCAAAATATATTTTGTGCTCCACAGAAGAAAGTCCCGACACCGAGGGAGAGCAAATGATGACAGATGCTTATTTGGGGAACTATGCCTTTAAGCAGCTGTTCAACACTGATAATAATCATGAATATTTCTTGATCATCAGATCCTCATATTAGAGTGATTTCTGAAGGATCATGTGACACTGAAGACTGGAGTAATGATGCTGAAAATCACAGGAATAAATTACACTTTACTGTATATTCACATAGAGAACAGATGATTTACACTGGAATAATAAATCACGAGAGCGACTGTGTGTGTGTGAGTGAGTGAGAGAGAGAGAGTGAGTGAGTGAGACTGTGTGTGTGTGTGTGTGTGTGTGTGTGTGTGTGTGTGTGTGTACCTGAAGTCGCTGTAGGGGTGTATGATCCAGACTCCGGCTGATTTGAGCCTCTCCTGCTCCAGCGCGACGGCCTTGTGGCTCCCGAACATGCGGAGCGAGAACTTGTTGACCCCGGGCTGCAGCATCGCGCCGAACTGCCTCTGGATGAACGTGGACTGGTTCGAGTAGCTGTAGTCCTCGCCGTCCAGACACGGGCCCTCCGGGCTGCCGGTGCCGGTCTCGGGCCCAGCGGCGGCCACCACGACCGTCCCGGTGCCGGTGGAGGAAGAGGAGGACGCCAGAACGGCTCGGGACGCGGCGAAACCAACGGAGCGCGTCACGGTGTGCGGGAGAGGAGTGGTCGGGGTGCCCGGGCGGAACGGGCCGTTGTCCCGCGTGGAGCTCATGATGGAGAGCCGGCGATCGCCCTCCAGAGACGCCTGTGAGAGCCGGTAACCGGGAGACGGGAGGCTGCTCTTACTGCGCCGCTTAGAGTCTCCGGGCCGGGCGGCTCGAGGGTCCGTGCCCGCTGTGCCACCATCCATGCCAGTGCCAAAGAGCAGAGAGAGCGCGCTCACACACGCTCACACACACACACGCGCGCGCGCTCACACACACTCACTCACTCACTCCCTCACACACACACACACACACACACACACGAGTGACCTGTTGTTCCTCTTCTGTCAGACAAACGCAGGTCTGAATAACGAGCTCACGGTCAGTTTGACCTCAGTGTCGGTAAAACGACGGATTCTTCCACGCGCTTCCTCCGCCGGCTCCTCATCGTGTTCCAACGCCCTTGAATAAACGCGCGTCGGTGACGCTCCGTTCGCCCTTGACGCGCGGTCCGTCATTCCTCCTCATTTCTCGTCCCGCGTGTCCTTGAGGCCCAAACGCACCGACGCGCTCCGACACCGGCCAACATTCCGTGATCCGGTGATGCCTCGCGCCCTGCGCGTTTAACAGACGCGCTTATATAAGAACGAATGTGAAGGAGCGGCACAGATACAAGACATTCATCGGTCAATCACACACACACGTCAGTCAGCACACGTGTGAAGGCTCATCATCATCATCATCATCATCATCAGACTGATGAGCAACAGATGAGAAACGAATGGCAGACGCGCCTTATTCCTCCGCGTCCTTTAAACGCACGCTTGTCCGTCGTTTCTCCAGGGCGCGTCGCGGCTCGCATTCATCGCTCGCACTTGTTGAGCTTCTCTCGATCACGTCAGATTCCGGATCCCTCGTGACGGGAAGGACGAACGCGGTGTCAAATAAATATGAAATCAATGTGCGAGCGCGTGAAGGTCTGTTGCCATGGCAGCATCAGCATCATCATCATCATCCCTGTCACCCAGTCCACACACTCAGGTATGAGCGCGCGGCGCGGGCACGTCACCATGACGACACAGGAATGGGAGGAGAGAGACAGATGCTGTCTGTTTCTGTGACACTGAACAGATGAAGCCAATTAAGACATTCATAATCATAATCATAACGAGAGCCAGATACACAAACACAGGCTCATTTCCCGATCAATAAATGAGTGCACTCTTAATAAATAATCAAGGATTCAAGGAAACCATTCAAATCTGATTTTTGGGGGGGAAAGTCTCAGTGTGACGTCAGAAATACATTTGTAAAAGCTTCTATGGAAGCTCTGACTCCTCCCACTTTACCGCATGACGTCACACGTAAACGACACAACAGTGCGGTCTATGATATGGCAGATGTAGATATTGATGTTTGCAGATGCACAGTAAACGGGATTTACATCTGTCAACAGAGAAACAACATGAAGCGTCGCTCACACACACACGCCACACTTGGCATGAGGACACACTGACACACACTCACACACACACACTGTGAAGGCAATTAGCAGTTTTCATCACAGGAAAATAAAGACAGCACATATGACTCATTTCAGTTTATTGATATAGAAATGATACACATATGTTGTTGTGCAGCACAAGCAGAAATCAGGGTTCCTCAACATGAGCCTGTCAATCACAGACTCTGGCGAATCAGGGGTCAGGGGTCAGGGCACAGTGACCGCCCTCATGATGTTAGTGTGTCCTGAACCGGGACTCCAACCGGTGACAACGATCACCATATCACCCGTCCTGAAGAAACCCCGCGCTATCCCTGCAGACAGACACACGTTAACACAAACACACACACACACACACACACACACACTCACTCACTCACACACTCACCGATGTCCATGGCAAACGCCACACGGCTGTCCACATCATCGGCCCAGACCTCAGTGGGCGGAGCCTGGAAGAGGGCGGGGAAAACTCCGCGCAGCAGCTGTGATTGACGGGCGACCTGAACGTTACGCGTCACAGCGATGATCGGACACCGAGGACGATATCGAGATAATAGATGAGCCGACCTGCACAACAGACACCAACAGGAGACATTGCGTCTGATTGGCTATAATTGAGTCAAATATGAGTGTGTGTAATACAAGTAAACCGATTTATGACACCTAATCATTTCGAAGAACATCTGCAAGATAAAAGTAGGACTGACAAATCTGAGATATATCAAACCCTCCTCTGTGTGTGTGTGTGTGTGTGTGTGTGTGTACCTGCCAGAGGTGGTGAGGATGATGATGGCCCCTGCACAGCATTTGAAGGACGACTCCACGGCCCCGATGGCCGTGACCTCTGTGGGGTCGGAGGTCAGAGGAGTCAAACGGCGCAGCTCTTCAAACAACTGCTGGTGAAAGATGGCCGCCTCGGCCTCGCGGCAGATCTGAGACACACACACAGGCAGACCGTGAGACATGGAGTTAAAGTGGCATCCAGTGCAGGGTCAGAGGTCAGAAGTTAGAGGTCACCCACCGAGTGCATCATGGCAACAGATTCGACAGGGAAGTTTCCTTTGGCCGTTTCTCCAGAGAGCATGACGCAGTCGGCCCCGTCCAGAACCGCATTAGCCACGTCACTGCTCTCTGCGCGGGTGGGTCGCGCGTGCTGCACCATACTCTCCAGCATCTGAAAACAAACAAACAAACAAACACACACACACACACACACACACACACACACACACACACACACACACACACACACACACACACACACACACACACACACACTCTCTCAGAGTTCTGTTTGTCCTCTAGACACATGTACCAGTGATATGATCAGTGCTCTGGATATATGAGCGTCTGATTGGATGAATTGTTGGGTCGTTCCGAGAGACGCACCTGTGTGGCGCAGATCACCGGTTTCCCTGCATAATTGCAGCGTCCGATCATCATCTTCTGCGCGATGAAGACTTTCTCGGCCGGGATCTCGATGCCCAGGTCACCGCGGGCCACCATGACCCCGTCGCTCTCCTTCAGGATCTCCTCGAAACTGCAGTGCGAGATGAGGAGATGAATGTGTGTGTGTGTGTGTGTGCTCATGATACCAATCTTTCATTTGAAAGTCACCTGCCTATCATCTGTAAAACCGCATTCTTCCATCTTAAAGATATACGCATTCATGCATTCATGAGCTCAAGGCTAGATGACTGTAATGCTCTTCTGGGTGTTTGCCCTGCGCGCCTAATAAACAAACTCCAGCCGCTCGAGTTCTTACCAGAACTGGACAATATTCTGAATGTTCTGATCCAATCTGACCTCTGACCTCTGACGCTCCTGAATCACGATCACACACTGTGGGAGAACTGAGCGACTGAGTCTGGTTTCTCCATTCTGAGTTTGGGTTCCTCCACTGTGGCCTTTGCTTTGGGCTGCTCAGTTGGAGACATTTAATATCCAGCAATATTATTGATCTCCTGCACTGACAGCATTATATGAGAACTGAACTGAGCTGGACGATGACATCACGCTCTTCTCCAGTTATATTAGCAGAAACAGCATTATTTTCCTGTTATCTCTGTAAAGCTGCTTTGAAACACTCTGTATTGTGAAAAGCGCCTGATAAATAGGTGACTTGACTTGTGTGTGTGTGTCTCACTTCTGAACGCCCTGTCTGCTCTCCACTTTGCTGATGACTTTGATGTCTCGTCCTCGTTCTCCCAGCGCCGCCCTCACGGCCCTCACGTCCTCGGCCGAGCGGATGAAGGAGGCGAAGACGATGTCCACGTCCTGCTCCACGCCGAACTGCAGGTCGGACCGGTCGCGCTCGCTCACCGCGGGCAGGTCCACTAGCTCCGCCCCCGGCAGGTTCACTCCTTTACGACTACCCAGAATCCCCCCGTTCTCCACTCGAGTCTCCACCCACGTGTCACCTGACAGTCCACGAGAGGAGAAATGCTTCATGAAAAGCTTCTTCTTAAAGCTCACTGTGTGTAAATATGAGCTGGTGTTTGTTACCGATCTCCAGGACTTTGAGAGCGAGGAGCCCGTCATCAATGAATATTCTGCTTCCCTTCGTGATCACGCGAGTCAGGCTGGGATAATCCAACCAGATTACAGACCCGTCCGTCTTATCACACTCCGCCTCTGCTGTCACGACCCGGACCGACGCACCACGCTGCAGCGTCACCTCAGCATCCGCACTCTGACACACACACACACACACAGCATCAGAACACACACTAATCTGACCCCTAAACCTGCCCATCACACACACACACACACACACACACACTCCTTCAGAAAGTAAATCGTACCCCTTTAACCAGGCCGGTTCGAATCTCCGGTCCTTTAGTGTCGAGAGCGATGGCGACGGGCCTGTAGTACAGCGGGTCAGAGGTCAGCGTCTCCACGGCGTCACGGATGTTACGGATCGTCTCTCTGTGGTACTGAGAGAGACACGTGTGAGATGCTGATCATGTGTCATAAACACACACACACACACACACACACACACTGACCTCATGAGAGCCGTGAGAGAAGTTGAGTCTGGCGATGTTCATTCCAGCCTTCACCATCTCCTGGAGTTTGGTGACGGAGCGGGAGGCGGGGCCTAAAACAGTCACATGACAGACAGACAGATGCACAGACAGAAGGAATAGAAGATGAGCATCTGAAGACACTTTCACTGGGAAAGTACTGCCTTTTTATTATATATATACACTATATTGCCAAAGGTATTGGGACATTCACTGGATTCAGGAGTTCCAGTCACTTCCATGGCGATATAAGAGGCATGCAGACGCTCGACACACACACACACACACACAAACACACACTCGCTCGAAGCAGCTTCACAGTAATAACATGAAAATCATCCAAGTTTGTTTCTAGAAGAAAATCGTGCCATCAAGAGCTCTTCAGCCGCTTCCCAGAACTCCATATTAAACCCTACGGATCAGGAATGGGATGTCATTAAAGTCATGTGCATGTGAAGCCAGACATCCCAAAACTTTAGGCAATATAGTGTATCTGTACATTTAAAATATGTAAAATCTCAATTGTGCCGCTGACCGATGGTGCAGATGATGCTGGTGTTGCGCGCCGTGATCGGCTCCTGGTCGATGTCCAGCAGACACAGATGCTCCAGGAATGTGTCGGCCATCGAGGCATCCAGCTGCTGCTTCTGGATGAAGGAGTCCGGCAGAGCCATGACTTCAGAGTAACGTCTGATCCGAGCTGGGAGAGAGAGAGAGAGAGAGAGAGAGAGACGGTCAGAGGTTCTGCTGTCTCTCTCTCTCACAGACTCAGGGCTGGACTGGGCTTAAACCCCTCGTTGTGCGTATTCTACATATTACGGTATTTAGACCAGATATATTAGACCAAATATTCCACTATTTCTGCCACAATACCATGGTTACAGTTCAGTTTACTACATTAAATCCATGGTGAATGTTTGTGATTTTTGGACTAAAAAAGCCTTATGTAACACTATGGCACAACGTCTGCTTCTCTTCGATGTTATTAAAGTCCCCCGTGTTGAAAATCCAGCTTTTTATGTTGTTTATACAGTGTGTCTGGTGTTTTTAATACACTTGAAGACAAACCATGTGTTAATTCCTAAGTCGAGAGCATTGCTGATTGAAATCGCTGGTGTTTCTGACGTCACAAACCACCTTGTAACCAATCAGATCAACGTGTGATCGTCAACCAGTAGATCTCAGAGTGAGGGGAGGCGGGGCTCATTTGCATATTCATAGCACCATGCATACTAAATGAGGCAATGGTGTCGAGTTACATTAAAGATATTTTAAGACATGAAGACTTTTTTCCAGGAAAAACGTTTAAATATGTAATTTTGGTGATCAAAGATGAGTTTTAAGTGATAAAATGATTGAACACAGGAGGACTTAAACATTGAAATACAAACAAGAGCTGTTGAATTCTGGCATCACGAGTCAATTAAACATAATCACGCTTAAGTGAAACTCAAGCGAAGTCTGACTCCAACCACAACCCTTATATTGAGATTGATAAACAAGTATAATTAGGTTAACAATTTAAAAATGCATTTGACCTTCAAGCCAAACTCCAGTGTTATTCGGGCCTTAATAGAACCAGCAAATTGGCAATTAAAAGAAAGACAAATACTTTCAAAATATTGACTTCGTGACCACGACTGAGAAATCTCTCTGGAATACCAATATCTGTGACTTTAATTGATGGTCATCTCAATGATTTCCTCTTGTTTCAGGACACAGATTAGTCGAGTCAGCTTTAGTCAGTGTGTAATAGAGTACAGATCGTTTCAGAGCAGCTTTACTTTAATAAACAGGAGAATATCAGAATCACTGATGAAACTTCATCAAATATTAGAGTCAGGAGTGAAGCAGCTCTACAGAAGAAGAGAGAGTCATTACTCAGATCCAGCTCTGTTCTCATCTGATCAGTGCCGTCAGATCAACAATAGCACTGAATATTCACACTCTATTCATGCAATCTGTGATTTCTCTTAATGACTGTACTGGACGTAGATGCTGGTAATGTTACGTGACGAACAGACAGGCGAGTGTTTGTCAAGGACGAGCAAGTAAAAAGAAGAAAACAACAGAATACAGAGAGGAGAGAAAGAACTAAAGAGAGAAACACGTCTGACATCTGCTGAGAGAAAGACTGAAGAACATCAGCAAGGTCACATTACAGACAGAGAGAGAGAGAGAGAGAGACACTGGGAGGATGAATGGACAGAGTCAGTGCAGTCCAGTCACATGGATAAAAAAGGAGTTCACTGCAAACACACACACACACACACACTCTCTTTAACTCCCTGCAGGAATATCTAAATAAGTTTAGAATCAAAATGACATGCGATGCCTTGTAACATAATGTTTGCCGTATGTTAAGGTGTTTTATTAACAGATTTGCCTGCATTATTTTCTTGCATGAAAGTAAGAGGAGTAAGAGAGTTTACTCACCACCCATCGTAACCAGCTCTGATCCACTGCACACTCTCTCTCTCTCACACACACGTGCTTTATTCATCCGTGGGTCTCTCCTCCCTCTGCTCAAGTGTTCAGGTCAGCGTGTGTTTGCACACATGATTCTAAAAATGACCATCCAGACTTTGTCCTTACTAAAGATATCCAAAGACAAACATCCGTGCTTCACCGAACCGTCCTCCGCCGATCATAAATCATAAATAATCTGTAATCCATAAACCGTATCATCAGATGAAAACAGAACTGAATCATGAGCGTCTTCTGTAGAGCTGCTGGAACTGAGCTTCAGAACTGATGAACTTCGCAACACTGCCATACATTTTTATTTTCAGGACTCTTGAGGATAATGAATGTGTCCTTGACAAATAAAATTATTAATTTTATTTAAAACCTTTTTTACCCACAAAATTTTCACCACAGGGGGACTTTAATGTCTACTTCAATATAGTTTTTATTCATTTTTATTTATTAGTTTTAGTTTATTTAGTTTGAATTATTTTAGGTACTTCAAATTTAACTGAATGAAAGTGAGAAATGTTGCTGGAGTAAAATAAGCTTAAACATTCTAATATTTTATTTTAGTTCAGTTAACTTTAATTTCAAATAAAGTTTTCAACACTGATAATACTCATAAATGTTTCTTGAGCAGCAAGGACATGGGACACTGATACTTTAGTTATACTTTTTTAACTTGTATCTCAATTTTTTTATATGACAATAAAATTAACTAGTATAAATGTACATATATTTTAATTAATAACAGTTATTCACGTTAAAAATGCATGTTTTGTAGTGAAATATTCTACCAATGGGGTCAGAAAAATACATTTAATTTCGAAAGAAAACCAAGATTGATGACTCCATTGGCAGACATTTTTTCTTCTTTTAAGCTCATTTAATTTTTATACATTTTACAAAAAATGTCTAAAAATATATTTTCAATGCAAATGAATAAATTAAATGTAAATGAACAAAAGTGAAATGAATTAATTCTTATGCAAATGTATCTTGATTTAAGAGTGTTTAGATGTTTGTGCTGGAAAATATCTGATTTAGAACATCATTTTTCACAGTGTTTTTATGCTTACTCGTTAAAACACCATTTTTTACCGTTCATTCTGTTATTTACACAGTGAATCGGCTTGGAAACAGAACTGTATAAAGCACTATAGAGGAGAACGCTCTTTTGAATGAAAACGTCCTCCTGTTTCTGACTGACAGTAAATCACATCTGTGGCAAACCTGACTGAAATCCTTTAAGAACAGGAATCAGCAAGTTTCAAGTTCAAGTAGAAGTTTTAAAAAAGCTCATATTTAAATGGCCAAAGCTTGAATCACTAGAGTGAGTTGATTTTGACCTGTGACATTTGACCTCTGAGCATCTCACAATATGCTGTTCTCTGAAAGCCTTTATCTCAGTTCAGAGCAACAGTAATAAAGTCCCAGTGTTTGCAGTGACTGAAGCCGGCAGTAAATCAGTAGCTAGTGGACAAACAGACCTTTGAGCAGAAACACTGGAAAACAAGCTCACGAAAAACAGACAATAAAGAGGTTTTACTTTAAAAGATCTGCTAAAAAAGACTGAATTATATCAGACTGAGATCTGGAGGAGCATCGGCTCTATTGTTATGGCTGAATCACTTCAGATCACACTGAAACAAAGAGCTGAACTTTGACCACGAACAATTCTGTAAGAGGTTTTCCCAGGTGTTCAGACTCTTCAGGACATCGACATAAACACGGCGACAGGAAGATGTGATGTGGATATAAGATATGACAGATGATCTCCTACCTGAGCGTCGAGTCTCGTGTTGAAGGAGTCTCAAGACATCTGAAGAAGACACACTGATCTCCAGCAGCGCCACCTACAGGACTCAGACTGGCGGAGACCACACACGAGTCAAGGTCAAAGGTCGATTCATCTGAACACTGAAGGACGGACTCACACACACACACACACCTGCGCTCGCTCTTCTGAACGTGTTCATTTAGTGGAATCAGAAGAATCTTGACATCATGTAGTGATTCTCCATATGATCCAGAACAAACACTCGTATTAAATGCTCAGATCTCCTCGAGACCGAGGCTTCGGTTCCCACGGATAAAAGCGTCAGGCAAAGGAATAAATGTAAATGTTTCACACTGAAACAAAGTAGTGATCAGAAAATACTTTATTGCATTACAAATACATTTCCTTTTCCAATAGTGCATTGAATTTTTATCTGTATTAAAATTATGCTCTTACATATCTTCACAATAAAACTTAACACACTTTAAGTATATATTTTTTTAAACATATTTCAGAAAAATACTATAAAAGGGGAAGTCTTGTGTAATTTTTTAACTGTATGCTCAGAATGATCACCGTAACAATGCACTGAAAGGATATTTTAAAAAGTACATTATTTAATATCCTGAAGTAAATTTTATGGAGGATGGGATGGATGGATGGATGATGGATGGGTGGGTGGGGAGATGGATGGATGGATGGATGGAGGGATGGATGGATGGATGGATGGAGGGATGGATGGATGGATAATGGATGGATGGATGGATGGATGGAGGATGGATGGATAATGGGTGGGTGGATGGATGGATGGATAGATGATGGATGGATGGAAGATGGATGGAGGATGGGTGGAGGGATGGATGGAGGGATGGATGGATGATGGATGGAGGGATGGATGGATGGATGGGTGGATGGATGATGGATGGATGGATGGATGATGGATGGATGGATGATGGATGGATGGATGGACGGATGGATGATGGATGGTGGATGGATGGATGATGGATGGATGGATGGATGGTGGATGGATGGATGGATGGTGGATGGATGGTGGATGGATGGATGATGGATGGATGGATGGATGGATGATGGATGGATGGATGGATGGATGGATGGATGATGGATGATGGATGGATGGATGGACGGATGGATGATGGATGGTGGATGGATGGATGGATGGATGGATGGATGGATGGTGATGGATGGATGGATGGATGGTGGATGGATGGTGGATGGATGGATGGTGGATGGATGGATGATGGATGGACGGATGGTGGATGGATGGATAGATGGATGGATGGTGGATGGATGGATGGATGGATGGATGGGTGGATGGATGGATGGTGGATGGATGGATGGATGGATGGATGGATGGGTGGATGGATGGATGGATGGATGGTGGATGGATGGATGGTGGATGGATGGATGATGGATGGATGGATGGATGGATGGATGGATGGATGGATGGTGGATGGATGGATGGTGGATGGATGGATGGTGGATGGATGGATGATGGATGGATGGATGGATGGATGGATGGATGATGGTTAATGTGAGAGAGTGGTGAAGGTGATTCTGGGTGGAGACTCGGGCTGCAGAATGAGTGTGTATTTGGTTTTCAGATCTTCTGTGGATGAAACAGTCAGTCTGAAGTTCCTCAGAATCTACAAACACACACACAGAAACACATTGAATTAGTAGAAAGACTGAAGTAGTATTTTCTTGTAAAACGCATCATCTCATATTTAATCTTATCCTATAATGATATTATAATCCAATCAAATAATCTTAGTTTAATATTATATATATATATAAAGGCATCTGTTTCAATGGGAACGGCGATAAGGTTGAATGTAATCTGAAGAGCATGCAGAGGGTTGTCAGTGTGTGTAAGACTCGATCCTGGCTCCTGTGTTCTCCAGCAGTGACTCACGTGCAGTAACAGCAGCTGCATCTCGTTCTCCGCGATCCTGCGACCCACACACTGTCTGGAGCCGAAGCCGAACGCCAGCGAGCGGAAGCCTCCTCCCGACGCCGGCTCAGCTCCGGCCCAGCGGCCCGGCTCGAAGCGCTCCGGACTCTTGAACACCTCGCGACTCCGGCCCAGAGGATACAGGCACACCTGCACCAGCGTCTGAAACACCGCTCACATCACCTCAGTGTTACAAAAAACATCAATGAGGCCAAAACTGAAGGAAAACAAGTTGACAAAAAGATGGAATCCAATATTTGGTCATTACTGGAGGTTTACAAGCAATTTACAACACTGGGAAACACCAGTTTTGCTTTAGGATTTCAACAGCACAAAGGCTAATAATGTGAAAATGTTTCTTAATTCGGTCAGATGTGTGTGTGTGTGTGTGTGTGTGTGTGTGTTTGTCTCACCCCTGCCGGCACATGGTAGTTCTGGAGGACAATGTCTTGAACTGGATACCTCTGGACGGTGATTCCCACGGGATACAGCCTGAAACACACAAACACACTCTCAGCGTCTGGAATCATATGGCCACGGATCGGATGAGAACAGAGCTGGATCTGAGTGATGATGACTCTCTCTTCTTCTGTAAAGCTGCTTCACTCCTGACTCTACAGTTACACTTACATTTATTCATTTAGCTGACGCTTTCATCCAAAGCCACTTACAATTGCTATATATGTCAGAGGTCGCACGCCTCTGGAGCAACGAGGGGTTAAGTGTCTGGCTCAGGGACACATTGGTGTCTCACAAATCTGTGTATTTGATAAAGTTTCATCATTGATTCTGATATGTTCCTGTTTATTGCTGTGAAGCTGCTGTCAAATTGTTAAGCTTACTTGTCTTTCTGATAATATTTCTTGATGATCCGGCCTCTCTCTCACCTCAGGGTCTCCTTCACGGTTCCTTTCAGCAGTGGCGCCCCCTGCAGGGCCTTCTGGGGGTTTCCTGATGCCTGTTGCCATGACAACAGCACTTGCGCCCGCACACGCTCCTGCACATCAGGGTTGCGCGCCAACTCGAAGAGAGCAAACTGCAGCGGGACGGCGGTCTGAGTGATCGAATGTTCATAAAACACATTAATTCTCCATTGTTGCGGCTCCTCTCTTCCCAGTCTGTCAGTAACGCTCTGTTTACTTCCTGTCTCTATGAAGCCCCTCCTTCTGAAAAGCACACTGTGCTCTGATTGGTTGGCTGGAGCAGTGCGTATTAATTATTTGCCATCTAGAGTTTGCCATTAACAGAACTGACCTATGATGCTTTAGTGTGAACTATCACTTTAAGTTGTTGTCAGTTTGTTGGTCGCTGCATGTGAGT